TGACTCAGCAAATATCTGAGTGGCAGTTTGAGATTTCTCCTTTACCCAGGCAACTCACAGTTCCACACCAGGTGGAGGCAGGACAACAACTAGTGTTACGCCTCAATGAATACGGGCTCGGGATGAGGGGAGACTAGAAAAGAAAAAGGGAAACAGAGCAAGTGTGAAACTCAAGGTTTTTAGTAAAAAGGACTCAACTCAAAGAAATGGCAACACTGCTATTTCAACTAAACAAAAGTCATCCACAAACTAAAATACCCTAAGGAAAGACAAAAGAAAGGGTTTACCAAATTAAAGGTACACTTCTGCTGCCAGCAGATACCTGCTACTCACCAGCAGCTCAAAGAAAACACCAAGTTTTAACATATGCAGAATACGCCACTAAATCTCACCACTAAAGACTGGTCCACACACTGACTCAGCAGTGATTCACTAGCTTATATACGTGATTAGGACTCTTTCTGTACTTTTAGGTGCTACCTTATTTCCAAAAGGGTTGCAATAGCATTTGATCTACAAACACGTTTGACCTGACACAGAAGATTTTCACTCTAATCAATATAACAATAGCAACACATATGATGGCTTCTACACCTGTCAAGGCAGCTTTGCAGCAGACAGGAGTTGGATTTAAAATAAAGGGCCCAAGAAACGAGAAATAAGCTTAAAAGCAACTTTATTGCTGAGGTTTAACATAATACAAACTAAAGCAGAACAGAAACAAAATATCCAAAACTTTTATTCTTCTTGGGAAACAGACAATGTAGCAGGACACAGCCACAAGAAAAAACATGACAAAAGATGAGTGGCGACTGAGCGAATACACACAAAAACAGAATAACAACAACATAAGACAGGAAATAAATAACACTGAGACCAGGACTAAGACTTAAATGGACGAGTCTGACACAGAGACAGAAGACAAAACACACAAGACTGAGGGAACAGAATGGGAACACAAGAGGGGGTTAACCTAAAGATTTAGAAACTGAGAACTAAAGACATGAAACCACAACACCAAAGGTATAAGAAAATGATAAGACATGAAGACACTAAGAAATAACAGAGATATTAACATATAATCAAAACAGAATACAAAACTATAAAACAAAGATGATCAAAGAAAACTCAAAACATCCCCAAAGCTCAAAGACACAGGGACCATGGCAACACTAACATGATGTTTTAATAAGAAATATTAAGTTTTCATCTAAAATCTGTTTTACTGGACTTAACATAAAATATTTTTAAAAGTCTAATTTTAGACTTGATTCATCTTAAATACTTCTGAAATGATAAGTTCATTTTTAAAGTACTTAAAGTGTATCATGTTGTTTGTCTCATTTGTACAGTTTTTTTTCAATAATCAAAAGAAGAAAAGATCTATATAAAAACATACATAGAAACTATTATTTGAAGTAGTATAGTATATTGGTGCATTGTGTACACTGCTCGGTAAACAAAAGAGGACTATGTCTGTGAAGGTTCTCAGTCATCCAGGTCATCGTAGTTTAAGAAGCTTGGAAAGAAAAGCGTCTGGACTTAAGCGGACTCGTTTTGACGTCTTCTGGTCCAATGGCGGCATCCAGTGGACCCTCCAGGCATTACGAGTTCCGCTTTTTACAGGATGCGTTCTTATGAAAACTGGGAGTAACGACATGACTGGCGGCATTTTTCCTAAAGTCGCCTACGCGTGGACACACGCAGAAAATAAAACCGTCTGTGTGATATCTGAACACAGTGCCATACAGGTAAGAGTCATCAAGAAGAGCTGGGCGGTTTTTAAAATTAGTGTTTTCGTAGGTAACCTGGTGGTAAAGAAACCAAAAGTTTTGTTCTCAGCTGAACTGTAACTTATTACAGAGAACATGAATTAATGAATCATGTTCACATGTTCAGATATTATCTACCTCCACGCCCTTTTTTAAATTAGGGTTATATATGGCAAAGGCCAAATAACCCACGTCTATTTTTGTTTACCTTGTCAAGAAACGCCCATATAAACACGCCTACAAGGCATTCGCTTTTTTCCGGTTCGCGCCAAAAACATTCACGCTCATAAACCCGCAGCAGATGGACAGCAAACGGAAGGCAGGCAGGAGTTTGTGAAGAGGTTGTCCAAAACTGTTTGGTCGAAAAAGTTGGTTGCAGGTGCTGCTGAACTTCAAAACATCTTCATCCTGCAACATCTGGACTCACAACTCGTCTTACCGTTCTTGTCTTGTTTACGGAACACGCACCTCCAGTTGACAGAAACAACCGGAAAACACGGGCCGGATTAACGGATTACGATGCTAGACGGATTTGTGAGTAGAAGCGAGAGGAAATAATTAAAATAAGGAAAAACTTTTGTATCTGTTGTTGTGGGGGAGACCTTTTTGTTTTTTAAATGGCAGGAAAAGGCTCTTTATTAGAACATTTTGTTTTTGTAAATGAGGTTAATGAGAGAGCAAAAACACAGAGTTTGAAAATTTGGACTGAATGTGTGCTGGATTTTGTTGGGCTTTTTGGGATTTGGAGCATTTGACAAATTGTGCAGTTTTTTTAAAATCGTTTTATTTAGATTAGCTGGCGTTGGGGCATCATGTTGCTGCGGGTGTTAGCACTGTGGGGCAGCCCTGTTACCCCACAGCAAGATGGTCCTGGGTTCAAATCTGTGACTCGAAAATTCATGTGTGGAGTTTGTATTTTTGTAGTGGATTTATATTGGTGATTCCATAGGTATGAAGTTGAGTGCAAATGGTTGTCTTTCTCTGTGTGTCAAACAAGCAACCTGTCCATGGTGTACCTCACCTGTCACCCCATGGCAGCCATGACCACACCGACTGAACTGTGACCTGGATAAGTGGAAGGAAATTGATGCTTGTGGTTGATTTGCATTGTTCCTCCTCCATCCAAGGTTCATCTAAAGGATGAACTTTCCTTTCCAGTACTTTGGCACAAGATTCCCACAGTGGGTTTCCAATAACCTGTTCTCCAGTTTTGGTTATCCTAGGTAAATTGTAGCCTGTTGTTCTAATGTGATGGGAGTGGCGCCCAGTGTGGTTCTCTGCTGCTGCCACAGTGTCTACTACAATTAAGTTGCAATCCTCCAAACCATGCTTTGCCTTAGAGATAGGTTAAACACGACTCTCTCCATGCACTTGCCCAGCATTGATGTTAAAGCAACACATCTGGGACTTAACAGCCGTCTGTGTGCATGGGTGTTGGACTTCCTCACTGGCAGAACTCAGGTGGTGAGGGTGGGTAGATGCGTCTCTAACAGCATCACCATCAACACAGGAGAGTGATCCGTACAGCAGAACGCTGCTGCAGGATTGCTCTCCCCCCGCTTCAGGACACCTACACCAGGAGATGCCGGACTAGAGCAGCGCAGATACTGAAGGACCCGTCCCATCCTGGCAACAAACTGTTCCAACTTCTGCAATCTGGTAGAAGGTTCCGCATCATCCGGGCAAGGACAGAGAGACTCAAGAGGAGCTTCTATCCCCAAGCCATCCGGGCCCTAAACACACACACCCGCCCTCTCACATCATCTATAATTGACTGAGACAGGACTCTGTTCCAGACACTCTAAACCCAGGCACAATGTACATTTCAAATTCCTTTAGTTTTAAATATGTTTATATTGTCTATTCTGTAAAATAGTCAGATGTCTATTCATATTAATGTACAGAATTCACCTGCTTGCTACTACTACATAATGTTCCTCCTCTTTTGCAGATCAGTGAAGTTGGTTCAGAGTGAAGGACACACCGAACACAGAAAACATGGCTTGTACATCGCAGTCTGCCAAAGATTATGTCAAGACTGCCAGAGTCCATCTTGTGAGAGAATTGAAGAATCTGTCTGTGATTGTGCAGAATTTGAATCAGAAAGGGGTTCTTGGTGAGGAAGAGGTCAGCTTAATACAGGCAGAGAAAACTGATGAAAACAAAAGAAGAATGATACTGGACTCAGTCATTAAAAAAGGCGAAGAAGCCTGCTATGAGTTACTCAAGATTATAGACATGACGAGGAAGAGGACTTTAGGGAGGCTTCCTTTTCTTTCTGAGAAAACAAATGAAACTTCCAGAGAGACCAAGTTTGACCTGCACCACTGGATCAGCTGCTTTTCTTTCAAGGAAGAACCACAAATGGACAGGAACTACTTACAAGGTATTTTAGGACAAAAGTCTGGTTGTCACTTGTTACATTTTTCATTATTTAGTTTCTTCGATGCACTAATTCTATAAAAATGTGCCAGTGGAAATATGTATTTATAAGTTTGCAAGACAACTGCATTTAATTAATAGTATAACCCCAATTCCAAAAAAGTTGAGATGCTAGGTAAAGTGTAATTAATTTTAAGATTAATAAGATTTGCAAAGCGTATAAAAACAGTTTTTATTCACAACTAAACACAGAAAACCGAAAAGATACCAAATGTTGAAAATAAATAAATATATCCTGGAAAAGTAAATGATTCTAAAACAAACAGCTGGAGAAAGATTTTACCACTAAATCAGGAACAGTTTTAGGATAATGTTCCTTAACCTAAAACCATAAAGACATTGAATATCTCATCATCTGCAGTGCATAATGCAATGATTCAGAGAATCTATACATGCAAGGGTCATGGCTGAAAAACATTATCGTATAGCTGTGCTATTTTGATCATCAGGCAGCACAGGTTTAAAAACGGGCATGATTCTGTCATGGAAATACCTGCATGCACTCAGAAATACTGCCTGTGAACACAGTTCACCAGGCCATCCACAAATGGCAATTAATGCTCTATCATGCAAAGAAACCATATTTGAACACAAAGAGAAGTGCTGCTGTCTTCTCTGGGACAAAAGCTAATTTAAAATGGACTGAGGCAGGGTGCAAAACTCTTCTGAGGTTACAAGAATTGAAAGGTAAAATTCTTTTTGGTCATCATGGACATCATGTCCTTGTTATCGGTTCTCACTTACTGTATCTTTGATAGTATGGAGATGCTTCAGTGCCTATCGAATTGGCACCTTGCACATCTGGGAAGGCAACATCAGTGCTGAAAGGAGTATATATAGGTTTTAGAGCAACATATGCTCACATCCAGACGACAACCTTTTCAGGGAAGGCCTTGCATATTTTGGCAATAAGGTGCTAAACTGAAGACAGTTTCAGTTACATTGATGGCTTTGTGGTAGAAGAGTTTTGGTGCTGAGCTGGCTGGTCTGCAGTCCAAACCTTTCGCCAGCTTAAAACAGTTGGTACATGAAACCAAAGATATGGCAAAGAAGACCCAGGACTGAGTACATAGAATCCTACATCAGACACAAATGGGACAACATTCCCCCTACAAAAGTTCAGCAACTGGTCTCCTTAATTCCCAAAAATCTATGTTCAGTGTTGTTAAAAGAAGAGGGGATGCTACACAATGGGGAAAATGCACCTGTTGAGACTGTCATTGCTGTCAAAATCAAGATGAACTAAATATGACAAATTTATCATTTTCAGTCTCTCCTTTTGCCTTCAAAACTGCCTTAATTCGTTGTGGCACAGATTCAACAAGGTGCTAGAAACGTTCCATAGATATTTTGGTCCATTTTGACATGATGGCATCACATAGTTGCTGCAGATTTGTCAGCTGTACGTCCATGATGTAAATCTCCCAGCTCTGGACAGCCCAAAGGTACTTCATTGGATTGGGTTCTGACTGTGGAGACCATTTGAGTACTGTGAACTACTTGCCATGGTCAAACCAGTTACTTTATTTGACATGCTGTGTATTCTCACTGGACGCAGCCATCACTGTCTTCAAAAAGCAATGGACTCAGGTAGGCTGTGAAAATCCCTGTCGATCAGTAGTTTCTCATATACTCAGACCAGACCATCTAGCACAAACAGCAATGCCAATTTCAATGTCAATTAAATAACCTTTCTTCTCCACTCTGATAGTCAGTTTGAACGTCAGTAGGTTGTCTTGACCATGTCCACATGCCTAAATACACTAGTGTCATGTGATCGACTGTTTACTTTAATAAACTGTTGAACACCAGCTACTTCGTTAGGTATATGTTCTACTGTAAATAAAATGTTTTGTGCTGTGCCAATCATTGAATTTTGTTTTTTTTATTTACATTTTACTTAGTGTTCCAGCTTTTTAAAATTAAGGTTGTAAATTTGTTTATTTCTGTTTTGTAGGACCGAGGCCATGCCACAGATATCAGGAAAAGTTAAAATTAAAAGTAAAGAAAATATTAAATGACTTTTGGGCATCAAGTAAAAACCTGTTTGAAGAAAACAAGAAACCTGATCTGTTGTACATTTCTCTTATATTAGACACACAGAGCAATGCTTCTCCAACTAAAATAAAGAAACTGAAGAAAAAGAAAAGCAAGCTGAGTCGCCCTAAAAAG